CGGTTGTCCGGGGTTGCCAGGTAGCTGCAGCCTACGGAGCTGCCGGCCACGCGGATGCGGAACAGGGCTCCGGCGCCCTGCAGGAGAGACGGCGAGAGGCGCTCGGGGACGGAGGAGAGAGGCGCCCCCAGGACCCCAGGTCCAGCAAGTGCTCCCAGGGCGAGAGCTGCTCCTCATACCCCAGGGAGGAGCAGTCTGTGCTGGGACGCAGAGAGAACCTGGCACCACGAGTGTCCCACCACACTCGCTCAGGGGCCACTCAGACAGGGCACCGAGCAGAGGGGAGGCTGGTGCCCAAAGCACCCTGGAGGGCTCCAGGTCCCCCAGCCAGGGCAGAGCCCCACGCCCCGGCTGCCCCCAGAGCCTGCTGCATTCGATAACCTTCCCACCCAGTGCCTGTGGGGATTTCCCTGGCGACTCACCAGGGCATTCCCCTGCAGCCGTCCCCTGCCCTGTCAGGGGATTCCCTCTCTGCGGTCAGAGGCGCGTTTCCACTCCCCCTGCCGCATCCTGGTTTTCGGCACCCGCTCCAGCCCCGCAGCCGAGGGCAGCGCGCAGCAAATCCGGCACCCAGCCGCTTTGCGCCCCCCGCCGCCGTGCCGGGCATGGGATGCTCTCAGCACAGCCCCGACAGTTCCTGCCACCCCAGAGGCGTTTGGGAAAGGCTAGAAGCGGGGCCATTTCCTCAAAACACAGTCAAGTCTCCTTTTCTTGCACCATTTCGCCCTAGAAAAAGTCCACAGCTGGACTTCTGTTTCGGTTCCCGAGGTGGTCCAAGGGGACCGTGGGCTCAGTGAACCATCTCCCCACAATGCTGGGTTAGGATGCAATAATCTGTCTTCATTTTGCGCAGGAATTTAATTTTGGGTCCCAAGTGGCTTCCGATTATGATTTAACAAGCTATAATTTAATTAAAATTTTAGTCACTTGGAACAAATACGAGGGGAGATTAACATGCACAAAAATTAGCGTTACACTTAAAATTCCTCTTTCATCCCGTGGGCTGCTGCAACGCTTTAAGAAGGAGATGAGAAGTTCAGAAGGGAGCGCAGCCACATTGGAGATTTTTGTCTCTGCACAAATAGCAGAATGTTACGTTGCCCGTAATGGCACGATCCCCCTTCTACAGACGCCAACACCCAGGTGAAAACTGCATCACACTGTGTTGCAAAGGCACGTGAAAAGCGTCCCCACCGGCTGGATGCAGGGGACAGCCAGGGCTCTGCTGGGCTCTGGTTTGGTGGTGTCCTCCAGCCATGGCAGACAGCCCCTGCTTGGGGACCTCCACTACCTTATGGATGGTGGCACCCAGGTGCTGCACAGGGGGACTTTGCCACGAGGCTAGGGACAGTTATTGGTCCGAAGAGGCACCAGGAAAGTTCATGCGAGTTGAGCTGCACCATGGCCACCTACAGCAACACTGTGGCCACCCACGGGTCCACCATGGCCATCCATGGTGATGCTACAGTCACCTGTGGTGGCATCTGGGCCACTCATTACTAAACCATGGTCACCCATAGCAACACCACGGTCACCTGTGGCTCCACTACAGCCATCCATGGCTCTCCCACAGCCACTCATGTCTAAGTTATGGCCACCTATGGATTCACCATGGCTACCTGTGTCTAAGCCATGACTGTCTATGGCTAAACCAGAGTCTCTCATGTCTCCATCATAGCCACCACCAGCTCCACCACAGCCACACTCAGCTCTGTATTGTCAGCCATGGCTGAACGGTGGCCACACAGCAGTGACCCCATGACTGCATCACAGGCACCGCACAGCTCAACCACAACACCCACGGTTCCACCAAGACAACTCATGGCTCCACCATGGCCACCTATGGCAACCCTGTGGCCAACCCATGTCTACGACATAGCCACTCTGTTGCTCAACTATGGCCACCCAACAGCTCCAGCTTCTACTGCAAGAACGACACCTGGCTCAGCACGAGGCTGAGGTGGGACAGACCAGGGAAACCGCCATCCCACTGAGGCCACAAGTGTCAGCTCAGGGCTCAAGGCAGCACTCACCTGCGGCGGCACCTCGCTCCTCATCAGGTAACGCATTTTGGCCAGGATGCACTGCTGGAGCTGCTCCCAGGAGACGCCTCGGTCCTCTCGCATCACCAGCGGGGGCCCAAACCTGGGCAGGAGCGGCAGCCCGTCAGCGT